AAAAAAAGGAGACATATGTAATACTCTTTGTAATACTTTAAGCAATAAAAAAAAGAAAAAAAAGTCATCACAAAAAAGAAAAGAAAGCAGCATAATAGCTAAAGTTTATCCTATGTAACAAAATAGAAATATGTAAATTGACCATCCCTTTGTTACGCTCACCAGCCAATCAGGGTGAATATGCTAATTAACCCAACAAAGATGGTTGGTTAATTTGCCTACATAGGTGCTGGGTGGAGAGCAGAAGCAGGAGAGCTGGCAGCTTGGGGGGATGTGGCTCCCTTGGTTGCCAGGCGGAGAGCTAGAGGCTTGGGTGGTCGTGGCTCTCTTGGTCGCTCCCAGTGTGGGGAGCACCAGGAATTCTGGGAATAGTAGTTTTGGTGGCAGCCCCAGGACTGGAAGCGGAAGCCCAGAGTGCAGGGAGCATCAGGAATGCTGGGAATCATAGTTCTGATGGCAGACGGATCTCCTAGACACTAGAGCAATGTGAGCCTGGACCAAGTTACTGTTGTGGTGGGGGATGGAGGGAAAGCAAAGGTGAGAGACATAAGTAAAATCAGAGTGTCTAGGAAAATTAAAGGGAAGATATCCTGAAACTTCCAGGAAATTTCCACCAATGGAGCAAAGAAAAAAAATGCCTCTATTATTCTGTGAGCAACAAACCAAACTGGGTTGGGGGTCTCAGACAATTCGCTCATATGATTGCAAAGACAGACAGAAATTCTCGGATTGGAGAGGGCTCCCCTGAGGGCTCCCAGATTGGAGAGGGTGCAGGTTGGGCTGAGGAACCCCCCACCCCTGTGTATGAATAATTAACAGTCTTCAACCAGACCCTAGGTCTCAGGCATTCCTAGAATTTAACATCAAGTGTATGACTAGCAGCCCCACTCATTTACAGTTTATGAGGTCTCTTTTACTACAGCAACTCCCAGGGATATACCTTTGTTTTTTCTCCATTTGTCACTACCATCTCTTCAATGGACAGGATCCTGTTGCCTATAGGGAGATAATTTTTCAGAGTCTCATCAGAAAGCTGGATCCGCTTGCCTCGTTCCATACACCTGGGAAAGAATGAGATTGCATTTACAGTCTAGTCAAGAAAAAGGGTATGAAGCATAACAAGTACTGCAGATAGTGTGTCTTCTAATCTATGAAGATATCACAAAAAAGTTAGAAGACAAAATACTCAGGGAAGGCCTATCTAAGGAGGTGACATTTGAACAGAGTCCTACAAGAAATCAAATATGAGTCATAAAGATTGTCACAAAGATTTCTGGGGAAGACAATTACAGATGAAGGGTAGAACAAATGTAAAGGTCCTGAGCTAGCAACATGCCTGACACATCAGAGGAGCAAGGATTCCTGTGTGGCTAAAAGTCCATGAGCATAAGAGTAAGTATTATTGTTATTAATCTATACCCACTTTTCTAAGCTGATATAGAATATGAAGCCCTATAAAATTCTCCTTCACTGATGTCTCCTCCTGAATGAATTTTCTTACTCTGAACCTTAAGCAAAGAGAAGAGGTTTAGGAGAGTTCTGGGGAGCTGTTGATCAGCCAAGATATCCAGAAAAGCAGATTACTACAGGGAATGATAATGTACTACACTTATATTCAGCAAAACTGCAATTCCATTCAAGCACTGCCAGCTTGTGTGGCTTCTTATAGCTCACTTCCCCTTTTCTGAGACTTAGTTTAACAGTTGTCACAACTGTTAAATGGAGCTAATATTAGATACATTGTGGACTTATTTGGAGATCTTAATAAGCACTTGAAATGTTCTGTAAGTATAGACTGTACACAAAGTTTCGAAGACAATATGATAAAATACTGAAAATATCTCATTTATATTTTATATTGATTGGTTGTGAAATGACAATATTTTTTATATATTGGGTTAAATACATCATTAAAAGTTTGCTTTTTTACTTTGTATAATGCAGCTACTAGAAAATTCAAAGTTACATATGTGGCTTAAACTGGTAGACACAGTCTACCAGTAGACTGGTATACTGGTTATGCATTATATTTCTGTTGCATAACTGCATAGCTGGCTCCTATTGTTTAAGTCTGAGGTTAAGTATTTTTTCCTCATAAAGTCTGTTTTCTAAAATATGTCGTTTACTTTTATTCAAAGTAGGTCCTGCCCTCTTATACTCCTTTTTGTCATTTATGTACAATCAAGATTTGAATCTCTAAGAAAACTCATGATATGGCTACTATTTGCTCCATTCAATTTTCATATAAATGTGAGAAATATGGACCAGTATGGCTTCTAAAATAGAGGAGGTACTCAATAAATGTTTACTTAATGAAAACTTTGTTGAGAGACACTTGGGAAAGGCATTTTCTTTTTTTTAAATATATTTTTACTGATTTCAGAGAGGAAGGGAGAGATAGAAACATCAATGATGAGAGAGAATCATTGATCAGCTGCCTCCTGTACACCCTGGGGACTGAGCCAGCAACCTAGGCATACACCCTGGCTGGGAATCGAACCCTGACCTCCTGGTTCATAGGTGGATGCTCAACCACTGAGACACACTAGCCAGGTGGAAAAGGCATTTTATCAGGGGAAGCATTCACTATATCCTCCTCTTTTTTTCCAAATAGAAAGGTGCAACAACAAAAAAAGTAACTGGATTTACTGCATCTCAGCTAAGTGAGAACAATGGAAGTCACTTGGGAATTATAGAATGTCAGAGCAAGGAAAGGCAGCAGGGCAGAACCAAAGTAAGTAAGTGGCTAGGACCACTGTTATTCTCCCCATCCAAAAATCTTATCCTGGTGCCTACTGAGAAGAGAAAAGTATGCTCTCCAAGTACCTATGTGTAGGCAGGAAGCAACTGAGTGGAGCTTGCTTATAAGAGCTGGCTGAAAAGTACCTGTGAGACATAGACTGCCAGCACTTCTATTTGAAGATCTAGGCCTTGGTCTGATAACTAGATCCCCTTAATTTCCCTTAAAACCAAGGCCACATCTTAATGCTCTGGGCCTTCCAAATTGGATTTCCTAGACATTCCCATTCAGAGTTTAAATATCCCCTAGTGATACCCCCTAATTCATTACCATGTTCCTAAAACTCAACCTTTAGCACAGTGCAGCAGTGAGTTAATAAGATGAACTCCCCTGGTCAGCTAATATGTCATCCTTCAGACAACAACAGAAACCTGAGTGGACTGCCCTCCCCACTCTTTCAGAGTTATGGCAAAGCAGAGAGTTTGTCATATATGTCAAGCCTGTAGGGAGGTTTTGTGGTAGGAGATGGATGAGCATTGATGAAGTTTTCTTAAATACGGACTATTCTGGGACTTGGGGGAAATCACTTCACTTCTCTAAATTTTCCTTTTATTTTTTCTAATTTTTAAAAATTTATTTATTGATTTTTTTTTTAGAGAGAGAGAGAGGAAGAGAGATATACATAGAGAGAAACATCAATTTGTTGTTTCACTTAGTTGTGCGTTCATTGGTTGCTTATTTTATGTGCCCTGACCGGAGATCAAATCCACAACCTTGGCATATCGAGACAACACTCTAACTAGCTGAGGTATCCTGGCCAGTATTTTTTTTCTAATTCTTATAGGGGCCACAGGTGACTCATTGTCCCAGAGGTGACTGAAACAGACACTTTGAAATAGAGTTTATTGCCACAGAGCAAAAAATCAAAGTATCTAATATGTTCCAAGCATATGATAGGGCTTTTATAAATGGAAGCTCTTAAGAGGTAAGAGTCAGGATGCCTGGCTCCCTTTGTGACATCTCTCTTGACTTCTGTGTTGTGTCAAGTGAGTCATTTATCTCCCTAAGCCTCCATATCTCCATTTGTTACTGGGGAAGAAGAATCTCTGTCCTACCTTCTACACTAGAGTCACAGAAGGCTAAATGAGTGTGCTGTGATCTAAAAATGCTACTTGCTAACAGATTTTCCTATTGTGGGATTATTATTTCAATCAGGTTTATAATGTAAACAGTTCTCAAACCAGTGAGACATGTCCACTTTTTAACCCCATTACTGATTTTTTTCCATGCAATGACAAATATTTGGAAACCTGCCCTATTCTATTTCTTTTCCACTTAAATCTTCAATCACAATCTAAATTTCTCAGGCCTGTGAACCATAATAATTACTTCAACCTCTAATTTGAGGCTGTGACATTGGCCAAAACCTAGTGTTTGGTGGATATTGGAGTACTACCTCTTCTTTTAGATTCCAGGCCCCCTTCCAAGATCACTGACAGCACCTGTGATATCATATGGAAGAGAAAATCTTCTGGTAAGTTCTTAAGACTGCCAGTCCTTTGTGCCTGCAACAGTAAACCTCTAGACCATGCAGGGTCCTTTGGCCTGCAAGTCACTTACAGATCATCTTTCTGGCTGCAGGGCTCCCAGGCCCACATAAAGGAGGGCACAGGCAGGCCACTTGCTGTACAGCGAAGGATGTTCTCACTGCCTAGGAGTATTGGCTGAATGTTCTTCAAATCTGTATCCTTCTCGTAGATCTTGGGTTTTTCTGGACAAGAGGAGAAAATGACAGAGATTAAGTTCCCACATCAGGGCTGATATTTTAGCTGTACTACCATTACAGGAACCCAATGGTTAGAATGTTGAAATATTTCTACATCAGTTTAAAAATACTTGCTGCCCCTAGCTTTCTAAGAGCCCTCTCCTCACTACCTATCCTGGTCCCTCCCCATGAATAGACCCTTCCCCCATGTCATCCCCGTGACCCAGCAACTCAAAGGTTAATATCTGATGCAACAGAGACATCTAACATTCCAGGCTTACACTAAAGCATGACCTGGTTGGTAAATCCTGTGCCCTACTTGTGATTATTTTTAATATTTCACCTCTTGTATGCACAATAGAGCCCTGTTGAAGAGAAGTAAATCCAAGGCTCCAAGTGGCAGAAGGTGTGTATTTCAAAATAGTATTTTGGATTGGTAGTTTACTAAAGGCAAGACTGAAATAAGGTTCACCTCTGCACTCTGGGCACAAAGTCAGTGCCTAAGAGTTATATGTTGAACTTAATTGCAAAAGCTAACAGTAGGCTTTTTTTATTTTCAGTAACATTTATTTGTTTGTCTTTGGATTTAAGACAACCAACAACAATAATAGAGTTCTGCATGATTTGCAGGAATCTCATTTCTGGGTTCCCTACCTATATATCCAACTGCTTGCTTTACTTCTCTAGTTGAAAGATAATACTAATAACATCAATGCTACTAATACTAATAATAATTAACTGAACTAGGTGCAAGGCATTGCTTGGAGCACTTTATGCAAATGAATTCATTTAATCCTCACCCTATGAGGTTGATATTGTGTTTATCCCTACACACAGATAAGGAAATTAAAATGTTAAGTAGTTTTCAGAAAGTCACTCAGCTAGTAACTGGAAGAGCTGGGTTATGAACTCTGGTAGTCTAGCTCTAAAGCCTTCTCTGTCCCATAAACATCACAAACTCAATATTTCTAATAATAATAATAATAATAATAATAATAAATATCAAGCATATATAGCACTTACCAAGTCTTAGGAACTGCTTTTAAGTGCTTTTTATAGATAGTATCTCATTTAACTTCATAACATCCCACTAGGAATACACTTCTGTTAGCCCTATTTTACAGATGAATAAACTGAGATGCAGAGAGATGAAGTAACGTGCCCAAGGTTGGTAGAGTGAGCAATTAAACCTAGATAATATGACTCAAGCACTCAGGTTTATAAACACTACACTGTGCCTCCACTCAAATATAAAACTCATTTCCCCTTCACCCCTATTCATCTTAATTTCAGTGATCTTTTCAGTCACCTCAGTCAGAAACCCATGTATCATACTTGAACTCTCATTCTCCCTTACTTCCACATTCCACCAACCACTACAAGAACAGAAACTCAGTAACAGCTGAAACTCTTATCAGTGTTTCTCCCCACATTACATCCTTATTTTAGTATAGTCAGTGCTAGGTGCATTGTAAGGGCTCAATAAATTCATGTTTGAAAGTGTTAGTCCAGAGTCCTGTGTCATGTGATAGAGCAGAATTCCACTCTGCTTTCCAATGTTGCTGTCTCTAAAGTTGCTGCAAGATCCTCAAATCTTATAAAAAGTGGGGATATGGTTTGGTAGTTTGAGCATTTCTATTTAAAACTAATCTGAGTTGTGCTTCTTCCTAGAAAATGTAAGAGTTAACTGACAGGCCTTTACTACATTCACAACAAAAAATTCTCAACATGATGGGTTGGAGGGCAGACTAACCAGGTTTCTTTCAGCCTTGTCTAATGCTTTTTTTTTTCTGGGGATTGTAAACACAAACTGTTGCCCACTGATTCTCCCTTGGCAATCTGCCTTCAATTTTTCTCCTGCTCTCTCCTTCTCCCCTCCCAGGACTGACCAATTGTAGCTTGTAGTCCAAGATCAGCAATATCTTTCCTTTCCTTTCCTGCTTCTGTGGCTGTTACATAAAACTCTAAAAGGGTTCTCACCTTCTTTAGACTCAAAACATATCTCTTGATGAGAGTGGAATAACTGGAAAGTTGGCTCTTTTAGCCTGTGAAACGCCAAATTCTAGGAAAAGAACCACGAATATAAATGTGTGTCTCTGGCTGAGAGTAATACTGCCCTTGAACCTGTGGTCCTCACAATGACTATCTCTAGCAATAGAATGTCTATTCCTGGCTCCATATGGAGTCAGTCCCACCTCCCCTTCACACAATTTCCTTGTCCTACTCCCTTTCCTTTGTTTGAAACAAGTAAAATAAGGACAGTCACAGGATTTCCTCTGGTAAATTAATTTTAGGATCAACATGTATTATCCCCATTTTCCATGATCTCAGAGATTTTTCTTCTTCATTGAGCACAATCTTGGCTCTAGTATTAAGGAATGAAGGAACATATGACTGACATGTCAAAAACAGGGTTGGGGTCTTTGTCTTTCAATGCTGAATGGGGTAATAGACCTATTTCCTTTCCAAAGGATTGTGGGAATAATTAATAATATTTGGTTTTGGTTGATGTTTCATGAAAAATAAATACACCTGAGAATGAGAGGATGAATGGATATATGAAATAAAAAATCAAGCTGAACCCAAAGAGTACAGGTGGAGAATTAAGTCTAGCAGGGCTAGTATCACTCTTTAAAGCTCTGGAACATTTAAATTCATATAAGCACTGATTGAAAACACTAGGACAGGTGTATCTTCTCCCAATCATAATTCTAAGTCCCTTTATCATAAGCACATCTAGAGTTGCAGGCATACTCATCTTAGAACAGGACAAGTATGCTTAGGTCACTGTGACCTTGAGTCAGTGTCTTCCCCTCTTGAACTTCAGTTACCCAATCTGTAAGACCAGGAGTGGACTGAATTTTAATAGTTATTGTTTTTCCTTCAATAGGATTTTTTGTGGCTGTTTGAGTCTACATGATTCTTAACTCATTCAATAAGTATGTCTTGAGTGCCTCATGGGTGCTATAAACCCTCATGGGTTTAATCATCTCAAGTAATGTGTAATGAATATCAGGTAGTGAATAAGGCACTGCTTGTACAACAATATTGTTACAAAAGTATTTTTATTCCTCAGAGTTCTTGGCTTTCCTAAGAATGTCTTCTAGAGCTTCAGGCAGACAGTGGAAGCTCAGGACCAAATACCTACTCTTTTCACAGCCATGGGATCCATTGTTTTAAATGTATTTACAGCCACATGAGAGTGACAACAGTCCCATTTCCGACCATTGTTTTATGATTCCCCTGAATCACAAACATGTCAAGAAGGCCCCAAATGACTCAGAAGGCTAGTTCTTATATAATAATTCCAAATATACATATTATTTAATTATGTCCTTCAAATTTGGTTGGGTAAACCATCATGGTTGGCACTTCGTAGCCCAGAAAGCCACCACTGATTGCTTAAGCTAACTCTAGCTACAGTTTCTTTTGGAATTAAAAATAACTAAGTTGGGGCAAGTTGTCTCAAGATTCCACAGAGCTGAGCACTTTAAGAATGCCCACCCACTTTCTTTAGTCATAGAAATATTTTCAAATAGTGACATCATTGAGTGAGCCTAGAATGGTAACAAATATTATTTAAATGTGCAAAGAATCATGGAAAAGATCCCAACAGCAATTTTTATGCCAGCCTGAGCACCACAATTCCAATAAAGAAGTAAGCTAATTGTGCATTATTATGTGCATTGCAGGATTGAGTGAGGAGAGTTGTTTAAAAAAGTGTATTTGAGAAGCTTTCTATTTAGATCTGAAAAAAAAATTAAGATTGAGCAGTCGTCAAATGGCAGACAACTTGAACTATCTGACTGGCCAGAATTGCCTTCTGAAGAGAGAAGAAAAGTTGCATTTATGGGATGCTAGCCTGTAATGTACTAGACACTTTGTTCATAATACAAGAGGTTGCTGCTTACATAGGGCGTACTCTATGCCAGGTATTTTAATGCAATAACTTATTCAGTCCTCATAGCAACCCTTAGAAATAGGTATTGTTTTCTTTATTTAAAAGAAAAGGTAAACTGGCACTCTAAGTTAAAAGATATTCCCAAAGTGACATGGCTATGAACCAGTGAAGCAGAATTCTGTCAAACTCCAAAACTGTGTGAAGCTCCATGTATTATGCCATGCTTTCATTCTCAGAGACCAGAGAGATTTCTGGTCCAACTACTATGTGCCAGGGCCCTGTGATAAGGCTTTACATATATCATCTTGTTTATTCCTTAAAATTCCATTTGGTAGTTGGTTTTATCCACATTTAAGACAAGGAAAACAAGCTCAAAGATATTGATGGATTGACAAAGGCCATATAGCTAGTGATTGAGCTAGGATTTGGATTTAAGAGTTGTGTAACTCCAAGGCTAGGACCCTGTCCTCTGGTAACTATGGTCACATTCCCCAGCATTCTCTTAGCTATGGCAAGAGCCTCCCCAGTGAAATTATCTTTTTTTCTGGAGCCTGTGGCAAGACCTCTGACACACTCCAAGAAACTTTACAGAAAATTTATTAGAAAGGCTTGGAAAGTGGCCTGAGATGCCCTAGAATGTGCTCACCAAGTAGGTTGTTTCCCCAGATCTTAGACAGTGATGGAAAGTGTTTCTTTTCTAGTCTCATCAAGGCACTTCTGGGGCCTATTAGAAAGGCAGGGGTTTCCAGAAAAGCCACTGGAAAGAACCTCATAGATCATGTTCAAGATACCCATTGGAGTTTTCCATGTTTGAGAAACACCCCATTGGGGTTTTCCATGTTTAAGAAATTTCCCATTGTAGCTTTCCATGTTTGAGAGCATGGCCTTTGGAAGTGTTGCATAGGTTAAAATCTTAGCTCTGCCCCTTGCCTGCTCTGAGACCTTGTGCAAGTGTCTTAACCTCTCGATGCCTCAATCTCATCTTTAAAATGGGATAACAACAGTTCCTACATCTCACAATTTTTATGAAGAAGAGGGACAAAAATCATATTTCAAAATAGTCATGAGGATAAAGTGAGACCATGTGCCCAAAAGTACTTTACAG